ATTATGCTCCCAATGCTCTTTCCCCTCCTTCTGCTCAATCCACCACCATTGTTCTTTCCCAGACTGCTTTTTCTGCCATTACCAATCTCCCTGCTGATGCCATCAACATTGAATTCCAACAGTAATCACTAATCATTTTCCTTTTCATTTTTTTTTCTTCGTATTCAATGTTCAAATTAATTTGTTTGAATGTTTCTTCTTGCAGGGTTTAATACGGCGGAGGTCTTATTAGCGCCTTTATCAAGGCAGGGCAAAAGGATGAAGGAACAGTCATCATTTCATGTACTATTATTTTTCGTTTGGATTTCTTTTTGGTGTAAAGTATACACATGCCGTATATCAAATTCAAATCTATTCAAGTTTTGCGGGTTATGCTATTTGCGCACACTTGGTAACTAGGGGCTCGAGTAAAACTCTTCAAATAATAGTTTTTCTCTATTCACAAGATTCAGAAACTCAAAATCTTGTTTAGAGAGAATAAGTGTCGAACTACTTAAATGAACCGCTTGTTGGTGGCAACTACAATTTTCAAACCAAATCTAAATTTTTGAATTTACCCTGACTAAACTTAGCGTCACGTTAGGAAATACGAGAGTGAATCTGCAATTGGAGAACCAATATGGAGTTGGATCAAGTAGTAAGCAGTTTGTTCCAGTTTAAGTATGTCTTGGGTTCGAGACCTTGCGTACGCAGAATCTCCCGTTGTTAGACTCACCCACCAAAATCAAGTACGCGACGCGGGTTGAATCTACTTGATACCGGATAGAGCACCCAAAAATCTGCAATTGGAGAGGTAAATGGTATTTTTTCCTTCTCTCATTCTTCTAGCAATTAAGCCGATTCAATTTTGTTTTGGAAAATAGTTAGATGGAAACTTTGATTGGTTGAGTGAGATTCTTCTTCCTTTGTCATTTTCTACTTGGTGAATATTTATGCCATTTTCCATGCATTTCATTCTTCGTTTGTTTTCTAGCATTTTGATAAATAAAAAGGTTAACTTTTTCTTTATTAATTAGTTTCATTATCAAGGCTCTTTCGCGTGTGCTTCGTGCCTTTGGAAGATTCCACTTTCAACTAGACATTTTGCCGTGAACTTTACCTCAAAACCTTTCATCTCAATCATGGTTTAATTGGAAGACTAGAAATTTATTAAGAATAACCAAGTCCACATGTATATATGTCACAATCTTGGTTTAAAGATATGATACATAATATTTTAATTTTTTGACATGTGAATTTGATGGTGATATCCCTGACTTTATCTATCATTACATGCATATGATCTATCATTACTTTTATTTTTTGTTTCTGTTTTTTTTTTTTTTTTTTTGGAGATTTGAAGAACTTTTGAAGGCTCGGGTCGTAAGACTAATTTAGTATTTGTATTTATATATTTTTATTATTTTTATTAAGTCTAATTGAGATATAAATATTGAACTTTTGAAGGCTCGGGTCGGGAGTACTATATTGATCTTTATCGAACTTTTACAAATTCGAACAAAGTAATCGAATATTGTGTTTGTTTGCGAGTTCGAGTAATTTCAATATTTATATCGAGATATTGAGTTCTAAAAATAAAACTTAATCAACTTTGAACCGAATTTCCATGTTGCAAGTTTTAAGTCAAACTTGAACTCAATAACTCATTATCAACTTGAACTCAATCGATTATGCATCGGTGGTGTAAAATTTGGACTTCACAAGTGGGTTGTGGAATTGACACATGTCTATTTTCTGAATTAATTAAATTTTAAATATTTCAATCTAGTTCCTAAGGGACACATCCGCTTGTGTAGTCTACTAAACTCCACTGACAGTGTATTGTATATAAACCCATATATATATAATTTTTAAAGGATAATTTTGATAGACAAAAAGCATTTTCCATATTCTACCCATTCTTGTCACTTTAATTTATTTTGGAATCTAAATGTGAATGCCAAGTCATCTTCTTTAGTACTATTTTTCTTTGACTTTGACAATTATTCAAATCAAATACCTACAACACAACAATCTGAACATGTTATATTCTTTGATTCATACCTATACTATGATAAATTATTAGGTGGTACTATGGCAAAAAAAATTTATTAGATGGTACTGATTCACTATGTCAGCAATGGAACCAACCACTAATATTATAACAAATCAACAATTTTTTAAAATTATATCCCAATTATATCTTAAATTTGAGAGAATTACCCTTTACTCATAATTTATTTTAAGACGGGGCTAAATATTGTGGTAAAATTGTGTCTAAATTTTAGAAATTGATTTGACGTATCACAGTTTTAATGGTTGGTCCCATAACTGACATGTTGGACTGTCCCAATAATTTCTCCTATACTATATCTATATTCTATACTATTATTTGTCAACAAAATGACTCTTTACCCATTTTTTCCTTTCTTTTTCTATTTAGAATATTAACGGGTTATTTATCAAATAGCCCTTAGATTTTTTTGTTTTATGCTATTTAGTCCTTTTATACATTTTATTTTACTCGATTTAGTCCTTCAACTTTAATTTTTTATAAAAAAATCCTCCGTACACTTTCATTTTATGCAATTTAATCATTCATACATTTTGTTCTATACAATTTAATCCTTCAACTTTTATATTTTATCTTCTTAATATTTTGTTCGCTCAATAATACTTTTTAAATATGATCTAATATACCGATGCCACATCGAAGCATTGTGGGTTTTTTTCTTCTATATTCAATTATTTCATCATAAATTTGTCACGATTTATTTTTTAGAAATTAAGTAAAATGTATATTTGTCTGCTACCATCGATAATCAACGTTCACGAAGGAAACCACAAATCCATCGAATCCAAATGCAAAAAGCATAAAGAGAAAGGAAATTTGGACCCGTTTTCTACCATATATAACAAAGGATATGAAGCCTCTTCACAAGAAAACAAAACAAAAAAGGCCTATGAAAAATACCACCTACGCACTTAGAATTAGAAATATGCATGCAATGCAGCTAATCCATGGAAATTTATTAGTGTAAGTTAAGTTTTCTCCTAAACCAAACTTTACAGGTACAGCTTTTTTGCAACTTTTTTTCGCCGTAGGTGAATGTCACTTTAAATGTGATTTGCCTAACTATTTCCAAGTACATCTTCCCTTGCTAATTTATAAATTGATTGGAAATATTGAGGAGGAGAGAAATAATATTATCTATTGATTATTGAGTTGAGTGGGAGGAGTTCAATATCAATGGCTGATCCATTAGTAAAGGAGGGTGGGCACGGGCCCACCTTCAATTTCTAAAAACTTCCATTTTATGTTCAATTTTGAATGGTGTCTGCCCTAATTTGGTCATTGATGCCCACCTTTTTACTCATTAATTCAATTATTGTGCCCTTAGGCTATAGTGCATAAGCTATTATGAAAATTATTTTTCAACTTTAACACTATGTATAGGAGATAGTGCCCACTCTACAAAATATTTCTGGATCCGCCACTGCTCAATATCCTTTTTAAAGTATGGGTTCATGCTCAAGTCTTAAGAATAAAGAAAATAGGCGTTTAAAAGTAGTATTTGAACTGAATATTATGAATAGAGAAAATGGTCATGTAGAGTTTTCGGTTTAGAAACTGATACGGTCCGACTCTAAATTACTTAAATCCGATGTGATTTCGCATACCAAAGGGCTTTTACCATAAAAATGAGGAGAGAAATCCTAAGATTAAAAGCTGAGTTGATCGAACATATTGATCTGTACAATAAAATGATGTTAGTGGAGGTGTCCATGAGCCGGGTCTGGTCAAGCCTAGGCTAGATATTAATAAGAGACATGCTTGCCCATATTTTCAAATACATGAACAAGTCCGTTTAAGACATGTCCCATATTTTCAAATACATGTCCCATATTTTCAAGACCCGAAATGTGAGATTGATTCGAGACTTAAAAGAATTAAAGAAATTCAAATGCTTCCATTGACACTTGAGCTCAAGGAGGAACTCACGGTTCTTAAAAAGGAAGTGGACCAGAAATGGCAAATGGAAGAGCGGTTTTGGCATCAAAGGTCTCGGCTTAATTGGATCAAGTTTGGTGATCGAAGTACACGATTTTTTCACTCTATTGCTGTGCAGCGCAGGAGACGAAACTCCATTCTCAGAATTAAAAACAATGAAGGGGCTTGGCTTACGGCGGAAGAAGACATTAAAAGGTTTATTCTTGAGTCTTATAAGGACCTGTTCAAAGCAGGAGAGCTAAATGATGTTGAGGAAGTCCTTGATTCTATGGAAAGGGTGGTTTCCCCTGAGATGAATGAAGTGCTTAGTAAACAGGTTTCAACGAATGAAATTGAGGAGGCGGTCTTCTCTTTGGGTGCTCTCAAAGCACCAGGCCCGGACGGTTTCTCAGGAATTTTCTATCATAGTTTCTGGGATAAAATTAAAGAGGAGGTGTTTGAAGCAGTATGCGGTTTCTTTGAAAGCGGGCATCTTTTAAGAGAGCTTAATCGTACTAATCTTGTTTTAATTCCCAAGCAAAGTCACCCTGAAACCTTGGCGCATTATCGGCCTATTGGGTTGTGTAATTTCATATACAAGGTCATCTCAAAGATTCTTGCTAATAGAGTGAAGGCTTTCTTGCCTGACTTGGTCTCTGAAACTCAGTCAGCTTTCATCCCGGGGCGTTTAATTCAAGACAACATCATGATTGCACATGAAGCCTTTCATGCTATCAATAAGAAGAGAGCTAGAGGAAAAGGAGTTATGGCCTTGAAGCTTGATCTTAGCAAAGCTTATGACAGGGTTGATTGGAGATTTTTGGAGCTGTTACTCACAAAAATGGGCTTCTGTGAATTTTGGACGTCTAGAGTAATGGAATGTATTTCTTCTTCCCAATTTTCTGTTGTTTTCAATGGTGAGAAGGGGGATCCTTTTACTCCTGAACGTGGTTTGCGCCAGGGGGACCCTTTGTCCCCATATTTATTCATATTGATCACTGAAGTACTTTCTAGACTTATCTCAAAGGCAATGTCATTGGGTGTATGGCAAGGCTTTAGAATCAACAGGCGTTGTCCTCTTCTTTCTCATCTTCTTTTTGCAGATGATTGTCTTCTCTTCTCGGTGGCTGATGAGCAAAATTGTGAGGCTATTATGAATGTCTTGACCAAATTCAAGAATGCAACAGGACAAGTTATCAATTTCACTAAGTATGCCGTCTTTTTCTCTCATAACACCCCCATTATGCACAGAAGAATCATCAAGGAGAAGCTTGGGGTACAGGATTTGCAGATGGACAGCAAATATCTCGGCCTTCCAACGATGTGGGGAGGGGTAAAAGAGCAGCACTTAGCTTCATAATGGACAAAATCAGATTGAAAATTCAAGGTTGGAAGAGTAAATTGCTTTCTCAAGCGGGCAGAGAGATTCTTATCAAGGCGGTTGCAGCGGCGGTTCCCGTTTATGTTATGCACTGTTTTAAACTTCCAGCTTCCTTTTGTCAAGATATTAATGGTCTTTTGAATAAATTCTGGTGGAGTGGCTCAGATGATCAAGGTAAAGGGATCCTTTGGCTTCAATGGGCTCGGCTTGCTACACATAGAGATCAAGGAGGATTGGGCTTTCGTGATTTTACTAAATTTAATGTTGCCCTCCTCGCCAAACAAGCTTGGCGTTTGATCAACTCCCCAAACTCTCTTTGCACTAAAATTCTCAAAGGTATCTACTTTCCTTCTCGCTCTATGCTAGAGGCTCAGCGTGGCCGCAATTCTTCTTGGGCCTGGAAAAGTCTTCATGAAGGGATTCAACTGCTTAAGCGAGGCATTCATTGGACGGTTGGTAATGGAAGGGATATTTTAATTTGGCATGATGCGTGGATTCCTGATTTGCCTCGGTTCCGAGTCTCTTCAGCACCTCCTCAGGCTGACGGTCCTATGATTGTTAAGGATCTTATTGATTTTGAGCGTATATGTTGGAAGGAAAATGTTGTTCGAGCTCTTTTTAACCAGAATGAAGTTAAAGCAATCAAGAAGATTCCTATTGGCTCTGAACAAGTTCCTGACAGAATAACTTGGCACTTTACTAGAGATGGGAATTATAGTGTGAAATCTGGGTACAAGTTGCTTGCTTCTGAGACCATTCAAGAAGAAGATAACGCGCAAAGCTCGAATGGGATGCAATATTGTAGGACATGGAGGAAGATTTGGAAGCTGAATGTTGCCACGAAATTACAGAACTTTTTGTGGAGAGCTTGTAGAAATATCATTCCCACTAAGGAAAATCTTGTCAAGAGACATTGTAGCTATGATCCTGTTTGCGTCCGTTGCAATGAGGATGTTGAGTCACTGGAACACATTCTTTTTTTCTGCCCGTTTGCTCAAGCGGCATGGAAAGCCTCTTACTTTAGCTATTCCCCAAGAAGAGAAGGATTTGTTGGTTTTTTAAAGTGGTGGGAAGAGGTAGCAACCGATATTGCTAATTTTGGTAACCCGAATGCTATTGGCCTTATTTGTTATCTATGCTGGAATTTATGGAAGGCTAGAAACTCTCTCATTTTTTAAGGAAAAGAGGGCGACCCGATCGAGGTTTGGAACCAGGCGGTAGCTGAGTTCATGGAATTTGAGGAAGGGACAACGAGTACAAACAGACCACAAGAGCTGAGGACCAACCAACAAGCATGGCGACCACCTCAAAGGGGCTTCATCAAGCTCAATTGTGATGCAGCATTTGACAGTTCAAGTGGTGATACTGGTATTGCAGTTGTGTGCAGGGACCATAATGGTGAACTTGTCGATGGAGCCTCTTTCTTTACTCAGGCTAACTCGGTTGACGTGGCTGAAGCTTTGGCGGTGCGCTTGGCAACTCGTTTAGCTTGCAGAAGAGGATGGAGGAACGTGATCTTTGAATCGGATAATAAGGATCTTGTTGGAAGACTTTGTAGCACCAGCAAAAAGGACAGATGGGATACGAGAACTATTGAGCTTGATATTGCAAGTCTGACTTGTTTCTTTGATAGTTTTTCCTTTTCTTTTGTCCATAGAAGTGCTAATAGGGCTGCTGATTGGGTAGCAAAAAACACTAGGAAAAGATGCTGTCCTGTTGACTGGATGTATTCGCCCCCAGCTGACGTGGTGGGTTTTTTGAATTAGTTAATGAATGATAGTCTTTCCCTTTGAACAAAAAAAAAAGAAGAACAAGTCCGTTTAAGACCCATCCATATTTATTTACTTTTAAATAAAATAACAATTAAAAATATTTAAAAATAAAATTTAGAATAAAAAATTAACAAATCCTAATAATCTAAATTAGTTTTGATAAAAATAAAATCAAAATTGTATAAACATCTTACAAATTTAAATCGAGGTATATATAAATAAATTGTTTAATTTTATTATAAAATATATAACAAATAAATTAATTTTCTATATGATTCGGTCCGGGCTCGGGTTTGAAGTGTCAAAATCAAGCCCGACCCAGATTTTATACAGGCTTTTTATCCTTATCCAAGCCTGAAAATGGGCCTAATAGTTTTCTCCAAACCCTCTCATCCTTCAGATGAACCTTCAAGCTTGGACGATTAGCCCTGGCCTTGGACATGTATAGAAGTCTAGAAGTGAATGACTAGTTTATACCTCAATTTACAATTGAGGGTAAATTGGTTTTCACATAAATATTATTAAGATTTGTGGTCAGGATTTAATCAAAAATCCTAAAGAAACTTGGTTTCTGCACCACCCTAGTTCTGATATAGAATTAGGAAAATCTTGTAATTAATTGCAAGGGCTGAAATTTATTAATTATTAAATAAATAATAATTATTTTTTAGAATAATTATTATTTAAAATTTCCTTCTATGCCGCCCCTACCTAGGAGAGTGGCAAAGAAAATCAAACAGAAGCAGTTTCCTTTAATATTGATGTCTAATAGGGAGACAAGCATTAAAAAAGGAAGTTGTTTATTATATAACCATGAGATGGAAAATATCTCATGGACTTAATAATAAGACCCAAAGTCGTCTCCCATGTAGAGGAGAGGCCGCCCTCTTCCCTGAAGAGAGTTATTTTTCTCTTATTGCAGGAAGGAGACAAAGAGCAAAAGTTTGTCAGCAAGAGAAACACCTACCTACGTGAGAGAGGCATGGGATTTTCAACCTCACACCTCCTCAACATAATCGACCTAGCATAGTGGAGAAATTGCCTAGCCCTTTTCCCCTCCCCGGGAGGCAAAACTACAACTTTGCATTTTGTTCAATTAAGGACAAAATAGTAAAATTGATCAATTGAAGAGGCTAGAGGCTGCGATTTCTACCAAGGAGCATACTATGATGATCCTTGAGCTATGTAGATCATTTGGGTAAAATTTCACCTTATTTTGACATTGGTGTAAAAACTTATGCCTGATTTTCAGTTAAGGATATTATGGGGAGTGAAACCAAGTTCACCATGAAAGAGAGCTCAAATTCACTTGGAATTTTTTCCATAGTCTTATGGAGATAATTTAAGCCTACTGGTGAAATTTTGGTTCGTTCCGACTTCGTTTGCAACTTTTGCATTCTTTTCAGTTAAGGACATGTGGCTTTCTCACCCCGGTTTAAGCCATTTTCTTAACTAGGTAGTATTTTCATGATTTGAAGAGCTAGATATGACTAAGTAAAGATAATTTCGTGGTATTAGTGTTAAAACTCCAAGTCATGATGTCAGCAGGACACTACTTAGTCAAATTAATTGATTTCAGCACAAAAGAAGCAACGAAGACATGCTGAAGTGTGATAGGAAGAAGGAAGAGTTATTCATCAACTATTTAGGAGGAAGATTTCCATCTCCCATCCAAGAAGACTGACACCCTAACATCTCCTTTTCACCCTCTCGCCAGTACTTGGAACCAATCAGAAGAAGAAGGAAGGTTCACTGCACCTTTCTGGAGGCTGTCATCTACCAAGGAGGAGGAATTCGCCTTCTTCAGCAAGTCAAGCCCATTAAATTCAAGGCCCATGCCGCCCCTTATATAAAGGGAGCCATTCCAAGGCTTCACACAGATATCACTCATCTCAAAAACCAGCTCCTGAAGTTACAAACTTGCTCCACGCAAAAAAGCAAGCTCCGTGCTTATTTTCTCTCTGGCTCTACGTCATTTTCGCTTTGTTCTGTTGGGAGGCCTCGCAATAATATGCACATGGAAGCAAACAATACCAACACCCACAAACTACCAATAGGCAGCAATATTCAAACCAATGATCCAAAGCAGTCAAAATAAATTAACCAATCCACCAAGCAAATATATCTCAATCAAGCAAGCACAAATCTGAACCGACAACAATCAAGAAAAATAAAGAACACCAAATTTACGTGGAAAACCCTTCAGTGTGAAGGGAAAAACCACGAGGCAAAACCAGATAATAAATCCACTATGAGAAATAAATGATTACAAGAGTTCAAGCTTAAGCTTAATGCCCAAAGCCTAAGCACCAACAAATTAGAACTAAAAATACAAAGATTTACCTCTTTGGATCCCAAAAAATCAACCCCAAAGAGAACCCAATATGTTGTCCACTTATCTCTCTCCCCTTTCACTCTCAATGGAGCAAGATTCAAGTAGTCTTCACCACACCACACCCTTTGCAAGCTTCTTGCAAAGAACCCAAAAAAAAAAAAAAAAACTAAGAGCAAAAGATGAAGGCTCACTTGTTCATAACCGTCGTGCGTGGCGCTGCTCACTTTGGCTTTTTAATTGCCAAATCCAAATTGCAACTCACGGGTTGCCAAAATAAAGAAAAAGATGAAACCCTTTTTCTTGATTGATCATGGCCATTGGATTATCAAACTAAATCATGGTCATCCATACTCATTAACGTCACATGGGCCACCATGAGCCCAAATGCCATGCTAAATGGGGTTGGACCCATATTGGCTATAAGCCCAACATGTTCATCACGAGTTCTTACTCGTTCTTCATATTTTCCTTGTTTAGATCCTGTCTCAGGAGATTCAAACACTCTTTTAGTGTTTTTCTCTTGTTTCAATCTTGTCTCCGGACACAAAAACACTGTATACGTGTTTCTTTCTCATCAATAACAATCAAATTGTTATTTTCTTTCAATTTCAATCAAGAACAGATCTTGCAGATCTGATCCAATTAAAGAGATCTAGAAGGCCCAGTTAAGAAGAACAACTTGTTGTGGATCCAATGATTTAAATGCTCCGTTGTGACTTTGATCCAGTCTCCACAAATTGCTCTGATCTTTCAATCTGCTGCTCCGCGCACCAGATCTAGTTTTACAACCTCTTTGTCAATTTCAGCAAATTGACTGGCACGCCCCTATGCTGTCATAAAGCATTCTCCGCGAAAACTCTATTAAGAGATTTTTGGCGCAACACTAGTAGTATAGTTGCTACTAACTAATCTTTGTTCAACTTGCAATATGCCTCACAAGTCTTTTCTTTTTAGTCTTTCCAAATTCTTCCACACGATTGGCTGTCCTCAATTGATATTTTTCATCCCCAAAAATTTGAATATCTCTAGAACACTTAAGTCCATTCAACTATTTCTCTTGGATAAAGATACATAAGGTCGTGTTTGCACGTGGAAAACCCTTCAGTGTGAAGGGAAAAACCACGGGGCAAAACCGGATAATAAATCCACTATGAGAAATAAGTGATTACAAGAGTTCAAGCTTAAACTTAGTGCCCAAAGCCTAAGCACCAACAAATTGGAACTAAAAATACAAAGATTTACCTCTTTGGATCCCCAAAAATCAACCCCAAAGAGAACCCAATATGTTGTCCACTTATCTCTCTCCCCTTGCACTCTCTATGGAGCAAGATTCAAGTAGTCTTCACCACACCACACCCCTTGTAAGCTTCTTGAAAAGAACCCAAAAAAAAAAAAACAAAGAGCAAAAGATGAAAGCTCACTTGTTCATCACCGTCGTGCCTGGCGTCGCTCACTTTGGCTTTTTAATTGCCAAATCCAAATTGCAACTCACGGGTTGCCAAAATAAAGAAAAAGATGAAACCCTTTTTCTTGATTGATCATGGCCATTGTATTATCAAGCTAAATCATGGCCATCCATACTCATTAAAGTTACATGGGCCACCATGAGCCCAAATGCCATGCTAAATGGGGTTGGACCCATATTGGCTATAAGCCTAACAATCTCCCCCTCCAACCCCATACGGAGGAGATGTGTCACACAACCTGCTTCACTTGAAGTTTGTCCTGGCCAAGGTATCCATCCCGGCCAAGTTGCTGCACAACTCAAGTTTCTCTTTGGGAACCACTTTGGTTAGCATGTCCGCAACATTCTTATCTGTGTGAATCTTCTTCAACTGCAATTCTTTATCTTCTGTTGCCATACGCAACCAATGGTAACGAACATCAATGTGCTTTGTCCTAGCATGGTACATGGTATTCTTACTCAAATCCAAAGCACTATGGCTATCACAAAATACCACATACTCTTTCTGATTCAAACCCAATGCATGAAGAAATCTTTTCATCCAAAGTATTTCCTTACCTGCTTCGGTAGCTGTAATATATTCAGCCTTCGTTGCCGACAAGGCAATACACTTCTGCAACTTAGACTACCAAGAAACAGCTCCCCCCGCAAAAGTGAATATGTAACCCGAAGTAGATTTCCTACTATCAAGATCACCCGCCATGTCTGCATCTGTGAACCCTTCAAGAACTGTCTGTGAAGTCCCAAAACTCAAGCACATACCTCTCAAGTATCTGATGATCCACTTCACCGCTTCCCAGTGAACCTTTCTTGGATCGGAAAGAAATCTGCTCACTACACCAACTGTATGAGCAATGTCAGGTCGTGTACAAACCATGAGATACATCAATGAACCCACTGCAGAGGAATAGAGAATAACCGACATCTCATCCTTCTCTTTCTCACTCACAGGACAAGATTTCTTGGTTTACTTGAAATGATTAGCAAATGGTGTGCTAACTGACTTAGCATCCTGCATGTTGAATCTCTTCAGTATTCGCTCAACATACTTTTCCTGTGATAACCACAGCTTTCCAGCTTTCCTGTCTCGGATAATATCCATACCCAAAATCTGCTTAGTTGGACCTAAATCTTTCATATCAAAAGACCTAGACAAATCATTTTTCAACTTGCTAATTAATTCAACATCTTGTC